TTCTTTCTTTCTTTCTTTCTTTCTTTCTATTCTTTCTTTCTTTCTTTCTTTCTTTCTTTCTTTCTCTTCTTTCTTTCTTTCTTTCTTTCTTTCTTTCTTTCTTTTCTTTCTTTCTTTCTTTCTTTCTTTCTTTCTTTCTCTTCTTTCTTTCTTTCTTTCTTTCTTTCTTTCTTTCTTTTCTTTCTTTCTTTCTTTCTTTCTTTCTTTCTTTCTTTTCTTTCTTTCTTTCTTTCTTTCTTTCTTTCTTTCTTTTCTTTCTTTCTTTCTTTCTTTCTTTCTTTCTTTCTATTCTTTCTTTCTTTCTTTCTTTCTTTCTTTCTTTCTGTTCTTTCTTTCTTTCTTTCTTTCTTTCTTTCTTTCTTTTCTTTCTTTCTTTCTTTCTTTCTTTCTTTCTTTCTTTTCTTTCTTTCTTTCTTTCTTTCTTTCTTTCTTTCTTTTCTTTCTTTCTTTCTTTCTTTCTTTCTTTCTTTCTATTCTTTCTTTCTTTCTTTCTTTCTTTCTTTCTTTCTGTTCTTTCTTTCTTTCTTTCTTTCTTTCTTTCTTTCTATTCTTTCTTTCTTTCTTTCTTTCTTTCTTTCTTTCTGTTCTTTCTTTCTTTCTTTCTTTCTTTCTTTCTTTCTATTCTTTCTTTCTTTCTTTCTTTCTTTCTTTCTTTCTTTTCTTTCTTTCTTTCTTTCTTTCTTTCTTTCTTTCTATTCTTTCTTTCTTTCTTTCTTTCTTTCTTTCTTTCTCTTCTTTCTTTCTTTCTTTCTTTCTTTCTTTCTTTCTTTTCTTTCTTTCTTTCTTTCTTTCTTTCTTTCTTTCTGTTCTTTCTTTCTTTCTTTCTTTCTTTCTTTCTTTCTGTTCTTTCTTTCTTTCTTTCTTTCTTTCTTTCTTTCTGTTCTTTCTTTCTTTCTTTCTTTCTTTCTTTCTTTCTTTTCTTTCTTTCTTTCTTTCTTTCTTTCTTTCTTTCTTTTCTTTCTTTCTTTCTTTCTTTCTTTCTTTCTTTCTTTTCTTTCTTTCTTTCTTTCTTTCTTTCTTTCTTTCTGTTCTTTCTTTCTTTCTTTCTTTCTTTCTTTCTTTCTATTCTTTCTTTCTTTCTTTCTTTCTTTCTTTCTTTCTTTTCTTTCTTTCTTTCTTTCTTTCTTTCTTTCTTTCTCTTCTTTCTTTCTTTCTTTCTTTCTTTCTTTCTTTCTTTTCTTTCTTTCTTTCTTTCTTTCTTTCTTTCTTTCTTTTCTTTCTTTCTTTCTTTCTTTCTTTCTTTCTTTCTATTCTTTCTTTCTTTCTTTCTTTCTTTCTTTCTTTCTATTCTTTCTTTCTTTCTTTCTTTCTTTCTTTCTTTCTCTTCTTTCTTTCTTTCTTTCTTTCTTTCTTTCTTTCTATTCTTTCTTTCTTTCTTTCTTTCTTTCTTTCTTTCTTTTCTTTCTTTCTTTCTTTCTTTCTTTCTTTCTTTCTTTTCTTTCTTTCTTTCTTTCTTTCTTTCTTTCTTTCTATTCTTTCTTTCTTTCTTTCTTTCTTTCTTTCTTTCTATTCTTTCTTTCTTTCTTTCTTTCTTTCTTTCTTTCTGTTCTTTCTTTCTTTCTTTCTTTCTTTCTTTCTTTCTTTTCTTTCTTTCTTTCTTTCTTTCTTTCTTTCTTTCTGTTCTTTCTTTCTTTCTTTCTTTCTTTCTTTCTTTCTCTTCTTTCTTTCTTTCTTTCTTTCTTTCTTTCTTTCTTTTCTTTCTTTCTTTCTTTCTTTCTTTCTTTCTTTCTGTTCTTTCTTTCTTTCTTTCTTTCTTTCTTTCTTTCTCTTCTTTCTTTCTTTCTTTCTTTCTTTCTTTCTTTCTGTTCTTTCTTTCTTTCTTTCTTTCTTTCTTTCTTTCTGTTCTTTCTTTCTTTCTTTCTTTCTTTCTTTCTTTCTTTTCTTTCTTTCTTTCTTTCTTTCTTTCTTTCTTTCTATTCTTTCTTTCTTTCTTTCTTTCTTTCTTTCTTTCTATTCTTTCTTTCTTTCTTTCTTTCTTTCTTTCTTTCTTTTCTTTCTTTCTTTCTTTCTTTCTTTCTTTCTTTCTCTTCTTTCTTTCTTTCTTTCTTTCTTTCTTTCTTTCTCTTCTTTCTTTCTTTCTTTCTTTCTTTCTTTCTTTCTGTTCTTTCTTTCTTTCTTTCTTTCTTTCTTTCTTTCTTTTCTTTCTTTCTTTCTTTCTTTCTTTCTTTCTTTCTTTTCTTTCTTTCTTTCTTTCTTTCTTTCTTTCTTTCTCTTCTTTCTTTCTTTCTTTCTTTCTTTCTTTCTTTCTATTCTTTCTTTCTTTCTTTCTTTCTTTCTTTCTTTCTGTTCTTTCTTTCTTTCTTTCTTTCTTTCTTTCTTTCTTTTCTTTCTTTCTTTCTTTCTTTCTTTCTTTCTTTCTCTTCTTTCTTTCTTTCTTTCTTTCTTTCTTTCTTTCTGTTCTTTCTTTCTTTCTTTCTTTCTTTCTTTCTTTCTGTTCTTTCTTTCTTTCTTTCTTTCTTTCTTTCTTTCTGTTCTTTCTTTCTTTCTTTCTTTCTTTCTTTCTTTCTCTTCTTTCTTTCTTTCTTTCTTTCTTTCTTTCTTTCTGTTCTTTCTTTCTTTCTTTCTTTCTTTCTTTCTTTCTTTTCTTTCTTTCTTTCTTTCTTTCTTTCTTTCTTTCTTTTCTTTCTTTCTTTCTTTCTTTCTTTCTTTCTTTCTTTTCTTTCTTTCTTTCTTTCTTTCTTTCTTTCTTTCTGTTCTTTCTTTCTTTCTTTCTTTCTTTCTTTCTTTCTTTTCTTTCTTTCTTTCTTTCTTTCTTTCTTTCTTTCTTTTCTTTCTTTCTTTCTTTCTTTCTTTCTTTCTTTCTTTTCTTTCTTTCTTTCTTTCTTTCTTTCTTTCTTTCTTTTCTTTCTTTCTTTCTTTCTTTCTTTCTTTCTTTCTCTTCTTTCTTTCTTTCTTTCTTTCTTTCTTTCTTTCTTTTCTTTCTTTCTTTCTTTCTTTCTTTCTTTCTTTCTCTTT